AGTAGAACTCATTTCTTACGAGGATACCGCTCGAACTGATACCCACCAATTGAGGTCATATTAGATTCACAAGGAAGTCTTGGTAACACTAGACAACATTGAAAAGGATTCGTCCTCATGGACTTTTGGAGTCAAGTTAGAATCGTTCTACTGAATGTTCAATCCGTGTTTAGATACATCGAAACATCAAAAAGAAACAAAAATTTTAATGTGACATTTTGTTGATATATAGGTCTAATGACTCATAGAGTGCCCCTAAAGTTTCAACTGAAAAGAATGTGTTTTTTTGTTGTCGAGATATTGAATTATCAAGTAAACTCGAGTTTTGTATCATGCTTGTGGTAAGCGTTTATTTTTTTTTCAAAAATTCAATATCTTGACAAGGAAGCATTCTTTTTGGTTGAAACTTTCAGGATATACTATGAATCATTAGACCTATCTATAGACGAAATTTTATATCGAAATTCTGCTTTTTGATTATTCATTATATACCTAGAGTTGAATCGATAATTTAGTAAAGCCATCATAAAACTCGATTTCAAAAGTCTATGGTAATGAACTCTTTCAGACTTTTGATAGTCTCATCAGAATGTCCTTGTAGACTCAATATGAGCTCAAACGGTGAATATCAGTTCGAGTGATTTTCCCTTGTTAATGATAGAAAGTCAGATTGCCTTTCAGTTTTTTTTATGACTAAAACAATAAATAGTTGTATGTTTAATGGAATTTTAATTTTGCATAATCATATTTCTAATTAATGTTAACGAAGCTTTGAATGACATATACAGTTGAATAGATTGGAAAAAAGCATTCGATTAAGATTTTTTTTCTATTTATTTTAGAAGAATTTCATTTGCTTATAAATTTATATTTCACCGACAAAAATATTTTGAAAGCATTTTTCAATGTGAATCTAATCCTAAACAATAGAAATATTATTCACTCATTGTATTTCTCTACTCAATTCTATAAAGATTTTAGCTTCATATGTGATTTTATAAACTTTAAAAAATTTTACTTGATAATTCAGTAACCATCGGTTTATCACGTGTATATACTTCATCACCCCATATTGATAATTTATAATTATCTGGTTGTATATTTGAACTTATTGATTGATCAACTAAATAAAATATTCATTAGATTAATTAAATAATTATTGTAAAAACTTACTTGGAGACCAACAAACCATAGCTGAATGTCCAGTAACATTTTCGATCCAGAATTTTGTTGGTAATTCAATTAAATCTGTAAATTCTACTTCAAGTTTTGGTCCTGGTAAATAATGACCATGACGATCAGGATCATATTCTATATAAAACAAAAATAAATTATGCTTCTTATATAATTAATCAAATTATTAATCTAACCTTCTCCTGTATGAAGTAGAGTGCCACCTGGTTGATCACTTATTGGTACAACTTGTAATGAATATCGATTGCCAAGTTCTAAATCATTAATTGAAACTCGTCGTTTATCAGTTGATAATGATTTTCCAATAGCTCGACCATTTTTTAATATTTGATATCCCTATAAATTATGATTAATTCTTTAAATAATTCAAATCCACAATAAAACATAATAACATACAGTTACTTTTACATCTCCAGATTCAATAGGTGTATCCCAAACAATTGTAACACCATTTCGATCCATTCGTTCAATTCTTGGTGTTGTACCTTTTGGTGGTGCAGCACATTTTAATAATAATTCATTTGATGCATTTGATTCTATATCACATTGATAAACATAACCATCAAATACTTTTTGTCCAACTAAAGCTTTTATATAAATTCTATAAGTTTGTTCAGGTTTTAATTTAGTAAAATCATATATAAACGACTGATGTCCATTTACTTCCATTTCACCATGAAGTTTTCCATCAAGAAAAATTTTAAATGAAGTTATTTCATCTTGAACATCATTATTTATATTCCATTTTATTCGAATTGAAAATGGTTTTTCAGCTTGAATATTTTGTATTGTTGGAGGTTGAGGACGTTGTGGACATACAATACGTATTGGTTCAGAAAATTTTTCATTAATAAAATCTGGATGAGATGTTACAGATACTTGAATTTCATTTGTTGTACCTATAGAATTAATTATTTCATAGAAAAAAATAATAAAATTTATTTTTTGACTTAAGGGGACGTCTTATTCCCTTTTTCCGGAGTTTTTCGAGAATAGTTCGATGAAAAATTATGAAACATTCAAGACAGATAGATCTTGATAAGTAGAGGAAAAGTTGTCCTAGACTCAAAATTCCCAGATGCTTCCTTTAGGAACATATGAGGACCGCTAAGGACAAAAATTGGTCAGAAGTTTTTCCCTCCACAAAACTTTATATTGCATTTTTTCGAGCTGCAATTATTTTTATGACAACTAGGACCAAATTGGGGCACATGTTTTTTGCTTCATTTGAAAAAATATCGTTTCTAGAACTTAAGAGAAGCAAAAACTGGAAGTCCTGTCAAAAGTCATGTTTTTTTTTCAATATTACTATCTAATAAATAAAATTAGCGATGTAATGAGTCTATGACCTATGCTCTAAGCATTTTGGGAATGAGAAATGATCAACTTCACTAAAAGATTTTTGTATAGCAAAGAATAATCGTAGCACGAGCTTTTCTGCTTGAGGGTTTCGAAAGTTAGATTTAATAAAAGTGTAAATAACAAAGAAGACTGCTCATTTATACGGCTTTTGACAGAAGATACTTCGCAGCTGTATGAGCAATGAAAAATAAAAAATCGAAAAAAAATACAATTTTCATGCCCGCAAAGGAGGAGGTGAAAGATCTTCTTAAGAAAATATATACCTAGCTTAAGATTACGTAATTCATATTCATATTGATTTGGTGGAAGAATTTCACTTGGTTTTGAATTAAGAATAATACGATAACCTTTAACTAATGATTGATCAACAGACTCATCAAGTTTCCATGATAAAACAGCCATTTGTAATCCAATCCGTGTTACTCGCAATATTGGTCGTGATAATAAATCAATTAATGGATCAATTCTTGTTGTTATTACTTCATCTGATGTTGCTGTTGCAATAACTCTTATATCATTTGATCCTTGAACATTAAAGAAAGCTCGAACAAAAACTCTACAAGAAAATAAAATAAAATAAAATATTCGACAAATATTGATGTTTATTTTTATTTTTTGAATATTCTTACGTATATTCCTGTCGTTCAGAAATGCCCTGTATTTCGAGTGGTGGATGATTTACTAACCAGACATGTTCTATATAACCATCTTGATCTGATCTATATGATTAGCAATAGAAGAAAAAAAATGTATATAAATACAAAATGAAGAATCAATTACTTTTCATCACTTGTCATGTGATCTGGAAAATCTTGACCACGTATATGAACTTCATAGCCAGATGCAATTACATTTGTTGGCGTTTGTCGATCTAAATACCAATTCATACGAATTGATGATGCACTTATTGTTTGTACATTTAATCTTATTGTAGGAATATCTTTTTCTTCAAGAACACTCTAAAATTTACATGATTAAAATTATGTAAATGAAGCAAAGCAACAAAAAAGTGATTTATATATACGAACAGGAACGTCAGATGGTTCTCTCTGTTGTATTTGTTCATATGTTAAGCCACTTGTAGATGAAACATCAATTTTCTATTTTAAGAACATAGAAATTATGAAAACAGCTATTATCGTAATTCCTGCGGGATTAAAATGTGAAACACAATGTAACTGTTGTTGCTAGTTATATGGAGACTATTTCATTCTATCTAGTTTGGAACACATTTCTACCTCATTATTTTAGTCAATCCTCTAGAAATGTAACAAGGAAGTATTTTGTATATTATAATAACATGCTATTGATATACGGTTTGTGATCGTAAATTAGTAAGATCCGTCGCGATCTGTAACATGAGAAGTTTTGCTAAAGTCCCTATCATGATTTGTAACATTTCTATGGTAATGTCTGTCATGCAGCTTAATCTGGCATCTGGCTCGGAGCATGGGTTCAGGCGTCAAGGCATGAAAAGCAATGTCGATTCGGATTCGAATACGAGATCATACCCAGACGCGACCCAGCAAGTGATGAGTTCTCGACGTTTCAAAATATTTTTACTTTTTCAAACTTCTAAGTGAAAGCATCTGCTGAATGTTGATTAGCTCCGGTCGGGTATCGGATATACGATGGCCGGATGCCATTCGAGCTCGAGTATAAAAGAAAAGTGTTGGCCCGAGTTCGTTTGTGAAAACTCGTACCCATGCAGGACATTGTTGTCGTGATTCGGGAAGAGAGATGCAAAGTTCTACCCCATATACTGCAACACTTCTTTTAGATCGTGTTTCACACAGAAAAAACCGACTATTAGTCCATTAATAACATACAAGAACATTTGATTGGAAGATTTCATTGTTTTTATCTTTGGGTATAACTTCTACATAGCATTGATGTTTTCCTGGTGCAAGATTTATTTGAAATTTTGGTTCATCATCTGGTGTTATTAATTTTCCATATGGTTCTTTATCAACCATAATCTAAAAGTCAAAATTCAAACTATAAATTGATTTAAAATTATTGTCTTACTCGATAATTTTCCACCAAATCGGCAAGGGCTGCAGAATTTTTCTTCCAATATAGAAGAATACCATATGAATTACGTTTATATGAAATTGTTGGTACAACATTGCGTAAACCATTTGTCTAATAGAAAAAAAGAAAAATTCAATTTTTAATTTTCTTTTTTTTTTTAATGAAATCAATGGCTTACAATCGGTAGACTTTCAACTTTTCGGCTTGGTTCCAGACGTCGATGTGAAATATTACTTAGTTCAGTACCTAAAACAAAACACTCATGCATTGATATTTATTTCTGCAAAAAAAACAGAAGGTAGTATAAAATTATTTCGTTTGTTTTTCTTTCACTAATCAAATGCGTATTATAATAGAATAGATGCAAAGGTGATTTAAACTAAATGGTTTAAAAACTAAAGAGTTCGAGATTATGAAGTGTCATTAGACATTGTATTATCAGTTTGATTAAGATTTTTATTCAGTGTTGTTGAACGTCGTTTTGGTTTCGGTGGAAGTCTATCTGTAAATGGATCATGAGAAGATACTGATAATCGTTGTGAAACAAGTTGATCATCTTTATAATGTTGAGCACCAGGAAATGATTTATGTGGATGCGTTGAATTTGAATTTGAATTTGATTGCTTTGAACGATTTTCAATAGCTTGTATTAATTGTTTAAGAAGATCTTGTGCTCGACGCTTAGAATCATCAGATAAAATAAAATTTTCATTTTGTTGTTGTATTGTTTTAAGTTTTTCTGTTGTAAAGTCTTCTATATTTTCATCAATTTTTTCTGGTACTTTTACTTGCATTGTTAATATTTCATTGGAAACAGGCGATTGTTGTCGCTCTTCTTGCTCTTTTATATTATTGGTTTTATCATTATCATAATCATCAGTTTTTTGAGGAATGTTTTCACTCGTGTTTAATGATGCAGCATTCAAATCAACTTTATGAATACTTGGCCGTGAAGAGGCTGCAGGAGAAGGAGGAGCAGGCAAAGAAGGAGAAGAACTTTTGATAGATAATTTTGAAGAAGATAACCGATCCGAACCCTCTAGAAAATGGACAAAAGAAAAATAAAAAATTGTGGTAGCATCTTTTTTTTTAAATTTTTTCTTTTAAAGAACATCATTTTAATTTTGCTCCTGCAAGCCTCTTCAACGGTATACACAAGTAAAGTATAATAAAAATTATTAGTATATAAAGCGTTTTTGTATTGTTAGTGGCGGAGGCAATATTTCAGGTTAGATTGGGTTGAGCTCATCCTTGGCTCCGCCACTATTTATTATCGGTTTTGAAACTACTGTGTGTTAACGGAGTTCAAATCTGTTCTGAACAGATGAAAATTCTTGATGTAATTATATTAATGGGAAGATAACAGAGGCGAATAGATATTTGTCTTACAGATTTCTCGACAAGAAATATTTATATGAAAAATCTATGAGATATATATTCGATTAATAAACGACTAAATTAAAGACAGGATGCATTCAGACATATTTTATGACTATCAAGACCAAAAAAATTCTGAGCATTTTTTCATTAGTGGAAATATTGGACATAGTAACATTTTTAGAACTCTCTAGATTCTATATGAAGACATTCTCAGATAATTTTTTTTTGTTAAACTGAAAAAACTTAACCTCCCACATCTGTACCATTCAATCATAATAACACGTTTCAAATGACGTATTTATTTACTTTGGTTGTTTTTTTTTCTTGTAATTTAAAATTTTTTTAAGATGAAGTTCTCCGGTGAAGTGTAAATATTCTTCTTAACATATAAAAAAATTTAATCAATCTTTTATAGAATTCTCCGAATAATAGTAAGTTTTTTTCAAAAAATAACTAATAAAATCAAATTTCTTGTTTTTCTTTTTCCATTTTATTTCTAATCATTCTAATTAAATCAATATCTAGTTCATATATATTGAAACCGATAACAATAGATATTTATTACTTAAAAAAAAACCTATCATTGAAGCATTTCTATATGTTATATCAAATTATACACTCACTTTCAATAGTGATATTAGATGGTGTTTCTTCATCATTAACTGTAATATAAGGAAAATATCGATCAACTACTGGTCCCTTAACTGGTAAATCTAATGGTGTATCCACAATAATAACATTCGATTTACGAATTTCATTAGTATCTGAAAAAATTCAAAAGAAAAAAAGCCTAATAATCTTATTCTTTCATTTCAATTTGTCATTACTTTTTATTTTCGCTTCAATATGAAATGAATATTTTTTACGTTGTTGTGCACCATGAAAATAAATACCATAAAAATCATTAAAATCTCGTTCAGTAATCTTTAAAATCATAGAAAAAAAAAATCTATATAAATCAACAAAAATGAAATTTATCTTACAATTTTTGTTTCAATATTATCAACATAAACAATATATTCACTAACATGATCACCAATATGTGCCCACATTAAAAGTAATGTATTTTGATCACTTGATAAAGCTAAACTAATTAATGGCCCACCACCATGAACTTCTCGCGGTATTTCAAATGCCTATTACACAAAGAAAATTGTTTTTTTTTATTTTATTTATGATAATAATATAAAAGCTTACTCGTTTATTTGATGAAATCGGTTCAACATGAGTAATATTATCTTTTGGATAAGCAACAACATATACTTCATATTGTTCTCCACCAGCAAAACCTACTGCTGAAAAATGCAACTTTGTTGGTTCTATATTCACTTTTAGTGCAACATCATTAATATATAATTCAATGTAATCAATAAAATCAATTGAACTTGTTGGTTCAATTTTAATGTTTCCATATAATTTATTTGGATGTTCTAATGAAACCGAAAGTGTTGACGTACAATTAGTCCATAAAGCTCGAAGTTCCTTTTTTTTACAACGAAACAAAAAAACAAGAAATATTTGAACTATATAGTCAATATTGACTTACATTCATAGCTTCAAGTTCTTTATTCTCCAAAACAAATGTTGTACTGAAATTAAAAAAAAGACGATTAAGCTAAGAAAAATTCCAACTTGACAACCACAGAACGTGAGATTTTTGTTTTTTTCTTTGTTTGTCGATGCTGCTGAAAGCGGTGACAGAGAAAAAAAAAAGTTGATAGAATTTTTCTTAAGTATATAACTTTGCATGCCAACCAGCGATTATTTGAAACCATAAGAAGTTGATGAGATTATTACGATTTATAGTGCAGAATTAATTGTAATTTTACGTGCAACTCGGCCATAAAATCACTGAATCTGGTTCCTTGTAAAACTACAACTATTGCTGAACTATTACTCATAGAAATCTTGTCGACATCTTATTTCTTTAAAAAGCTATTTGCTCTCCTATTCTAAAGTTTTAACAAACTTTTGCCACATAATATAACTGGGGAGGCAACGGCGACGGTGCCGTCTAAGCATGTACGTATCGACCAGTACTGAAAACGATGAGCGAATGATAAAACAGTAATTTCCATTTTCGCCGATTTCAACATCGCCGAACGAATTCATAATTAAAAACAAGTCTGGATCAAATATGATCTGTTGTATATATAAAGTTTTATTATAATTAATTAGTTTATTAACAAATTGATTGGTAACCATCCGAGTCGGTAGGATATGGATGCAGAGTATGGGTATGAATCTTGGTCTTGAGTGTGGATGTTTTCTTCTTCACACTGACAACTACATTGACACCCATACTCTACCAATTCAGATGGTGACCAATCAATTTGTTAATAAACTAA